CAGTCCCAAGGAGGCCTGCTTGCCAGACTAATAGGGAAGGAAGTGGCAGTGGGGAGGAACAGGAGGGTCACCGACCTGAGAGTGGTCACGTGAGAAGACTCAGAGTCCTTGCGCCTGGCCTCTTTCCTCAGGCTGGCGAAGAATCTGCGAGGCAAGGCGCTTGTGGGTATGGAGAGAATGGGAGCGGGAGGACGCCGAGGAGCGCGCGACGCGCAGGCTACACAATGGTAACTGGGCCGCCGAGCCTGAGCTCAATCACTGGTGTCCACAGCGAAGACCCTGATGTTCGGCTGATTAAAGTCACAGTCATCTCGGGCTCTGGCCTAAAGGGCCCTTCCCTTCATCTCTCTTGGTCTCACAGCTAGATGCGGGTATAGGAGTCCGGAGCGCAAAAGTACACACGCCAACCCGGAACCCAGACCAGTGCCCTTCCCAGGCGGCCCAAGGTCTGCGCTTCCAGGACGTTTCTGTGGCTGGCCTGGGAGGGTTCGCTCTCCGGGTTCAACTTGGTGGAAGAAAACGTAACCCTCCCTGGGCATGCTTCTCCGTCGAGAGCGTTCCCTCGGAGCAAAGTCTCGGACTCGCCCTCTGGCAACGTGATGAATCCGAGGTAGCGATGCGCTCTCCCTGTAGGACACGGAACCGCGCCCTGATCTCTGCGCACCCTGGGGACGCCTAGGAGCGGTCTTCCAGGAGTTCGCGGCCTCCCTCCCCACTAGGCGTGGGGCTCTTTTCCTGTTCGGTAAACCGAATTTAGGAATCCCAAAACATCGAGGCCCGCTGCTGTTGTTTTATAAATATATCTATCAAAGAGAGAGACAGGATAGGGAAAGCATTTCAAGCTACGTTCGGTATTTAACCCTGGAAGTCTGGGGCGTCACGCGTGTGCTGAGAAGCCTGCTTTCTTTTCTCCACTTTTCCGGGGTTACCATCCCGCCGTGCCGCCTCCAGTCCGCTAACAGTGAGGGGTGAGGGAGAGGGATCCAACGTCCCTGGTGTCTCCAAGTCGGCGAGACAAGCCTGGAGATGATCTTGCTGCTCAAAGCTAGGAACCTTCGTTAACGTTTCTTAAGCGAAGGACAACTGATTGACCATAACAGGAAACCAAATGTTTCTCGGACAGTTCTTAGGATCCTCTAACTCTGAAGTTACGGAGGCGACTGGTGGAAATTTGGAAGAGAGCCGTGGTGTATAAGGAGACAATTCTTCTAGTCCTCAGTATAATCAAATTCGGACTATAAACCAAATGTACATTCTTAAGGTCCACATTTTAAAGGGATGGAAATAATGGTTCAATACTACTTTGTTAACGCCAATCCTTTCCGTTTCAAACGTTTCAAAACGTACACACAGATAAATCTTACATGAGCACCCGAGACATATATCTCTGCAAACTTTATTATTATTTTTTGTCTTTGCAATCCTGAAACTGCAGTTTAATAACGAAATATAAAGGTCGGCAGTTCAAACCCACCAGCTGCTCTGAGAAAGAAAGATGAGACTTTCGGTCTCTGTAAGGATTTACAGCCTTGGAAACCCTACATACGGGGTCGTTCTGAATCAGAACTGCCTTGTTGGCAGTGGGTTTGATTTATTGTGTTCTCTTTTAATTTTTGATGTGTTGGATTAATGGCAATGACGGGCCAGGGGCGTTAAGAGCATTTTCACATTATTCTATCTTTTAGGTAGGAAGAATTATCGTGCCCATTTTAGTAGATGATAAAATAGAGGCTTTCAGAGGTTAGGTAACTTTAGAGGTTAGATCAGTCTGGATTCAAAGTTTTCTCCTAATCCAATGCTATCCAGTACCAGAAAACAACCCTGCCTGCCAATCATCAGCCTGGGAAGAGCTTGAGGACTGTGATCCTTCGGTTCCAACCATTTTGGTTTCGTTACCTGTTAATTCGTGTTAATAATGGAGTTTCCAAGAGACCTCAGAACACCGCACTCTCCGCTTCTGGAGATCTCTGGACGGCCCTCTGAAAGCACCTCACTGTGAAGCACTTGTTCCCCGTTTTTATAGCTCCATATTGATTTGCAAAGGCAATAAATCTAAGAGGTGGACAGTGTGCCCTCGGTAATGATGTTGTAGCACACGTTTTACTGCCGCGGTTTCAACACCAACAAGATACATAGTTTGTTAGGAAGCCCCAAACGGCTCACCTTTTGCACCGGATATGCTTAAAGGGCCTTTGGATTCCTCTCCTTTGCTGCTTGCCTCCGCGTTCGCTCAGCTTTTCTTGCTTCCTAGTTCACTCTCAACAGGGTGAATAGGTCTCCCCTGCTCACAAGAGATCCAGAACTGGACTAAGGACGCGTAGACAGTTGGAAAAGGCGATGGAAACAAATTAAGCTTTTCTCTTGCTTCTTCATTTTTTTTGAAGATGCCCCTATCATGGAAGTATTCAAAATTCCATTTCGAATCCTTAAAATGCGTCTTTTGCAGTGTGGAAATGTCACGGCAAGTCTTTATATATTGTTTTTAATTGAAATACAATTCTATGGCAAGTTTTTGAAAAGCAAATCAGGAGAACGAACTTCGGTACATGGACGAAAAGTACCGTACATGTAAAGCTGGTTCCTTCCAGGTCTAATCCTAAACATTAGAAACAGGAAAGAAACCAGTGTGTGCCAGATATTCAAAAATCAAGAAAAGTTGTTTTTATTTTGACAAGATGTGGTTGTTTGTATGTTAGAGTGGGGGACTTCAATACCTGAAGCGCCTAACTTGCCTCAAAACAACAAAACATCAGAGTTTCAAGACTAGAAACAGATTCTCAAACACATCTCTATTTTTGTTATAATTTAATCTGAAACATTTCTGCTCACAGCCAGCGATTCTTCTGCTGAATATCCCAGGAACAGTCGCAGCTGCAGTGTGTCTAAGGTTTCGGTCTGTTCCCAGCCTGTAGTGTGGCCTGGATCTAGGAGCGCATTCCTTGGCCATGAGGAACCCTGTTTACACCTATATAGCAAATGGATATGAGTTAGACAGCATCAAAGTCTTTGGGTTCTGGAAGTCTAAGGTTTTAAAAATCTCCCCCAAACATTTATGCATAAGCACTTTGCATTTCGAGAACAGGTTTCTTAGTCACCTGCATGCAGCAACCTTATTTAAAAAATGCTGATACATGATGACAAAAATCTCAAACCAAAATTCATTGCCATCTAGTCAATTAGGACTCTTTGTGACCTTGTAGGACACCTAAATGGAGTACCGTATCTTTCTCCCAAAGAGCAGCTGATGGGTTAGAATCGCCAGTCATTTGGTTAGCAGACACGCGCTTAACCACTGCGCCATCAGGCAGGGCTCCCAAACGATGACAAGACTGGTTTAAATCATGACTTCCAGATGTCATCATTTTGCTTCCATAAAAGTTCTCAGCATCTATTTTGATTTTTAGTGTTTTCTCATACGTTTATTTCAGGAACTGGATGGGGTGAACCGAGAGGGGAGAAAAGGGCTGATGGGGAAATGGGGACCTTTTTAAATTATTATTAAAGACCCACCAACATGCTCCTAAACGCCAGACCGACTGGCTGGAATGGAGCTCAAATATTTACATGTACAACTTGTGTGTGTCAGCCTGAGTTTACAGGGCTCCAAGTGAAGCGGATTACCCTGCGAATTCGGAGAATTTGAGTTATTCAGGCTCAACCAGGCCAGCAGGACGCCCCCCACGAAGTCTTGCGAAGCCCTGGTAGCAAGGAAGGCAGGAGGGTTCTGCGTCTGCCCGGGCCTGTGAGGCGCACACTCTCCCATTGCGCGTGGTTTGGTCCCAGCCGAATACAGCATCAGGCACTGGACGTTATTCCTAGTCATCCCTTCTTCTGCAACCCCACTTTCCAGAATCCCCTTCAGACAAAAGTGCTCAAATGGAAGTCCTGGTTCTGGGAGCAGTACCCTTGCCAAATGCTCGCGGCTCTTAGAGTGTCTTTTGCAGGGCTGTGTCTTCTCAGTCCCATAGATAGAAGGCTAGACAAACAGGCAGACTTTGGGGTCCAACGAAGCGCGGGGACCCAATCCTAAGGGGCGCCCGGCACATGGGTCCAATCTGATAGTCCAGGACTCGGTGCGTGGACGCGGGTTTGAGGCGCCGGTTCCCTCTCTACTTAGCGCTTCGCAACTTTATTTTGGAACTTTGAGGGTGGGCAAGAAAAAGAAAGGAGACGGCAAGAAATTCCGAGACTTCCTCCGGTCTAGCTTGCCACACCAGGGATCCCAGGTCTTAGACCGCGCCCAAGTTCCTTTGACCGCAGCGTGCACTGCCCTGTGCCCCGGACTACTAGACCAGGCGTGGAACTTCCGCAGCAATCGTGGGGGCCCGGGGTGTGGCACCCCTGTCCCGCAAGGTCGCTGCACCGAGCCACGCGGGCGCCGCGCCCCCTGCGGGCCCTCCGGGGGCCCAACCCGCGGCCCCGCCCCCGGCGGTAGTATCAGGAAGCGGTGACGTGGAGAGGTTCTGACTGGCTGCGGGTCGCCGGCATCGCTGCGGCCAGCAAATTAAGGCACAGGGCTGCAAGCACCCGGGCACAGTGTCCTCTGTGCTGCGCCCCTTTCCGCACGCCCCCAGGCAACACACTCGGCGGGTAACCACCTTCAAGCCACTTCGGCCATCTGGTTGTCCTCGGTGGCGGAGGAAGGAAGCGCGCTGGAGAAAGTGCTGCGGGACCCCTGGGTTTCACTCTGCTGATGCTGGTCTCCGGCTTCGAGAGGCACAGTTTCTGGTCCAGCCGAGAGTCCCGGTGCTTGTGTGTCTGGTTGACCCACCGTTTTCTCTCTCACTTGCTCTCTGACTAAATCCGAACTGTATGCGGCTCTGGGATCTTGCGGTCGGGAAAAGGAAACGCCAGTGTGGAGCATTAGGAAGGCTGGAGTCCCCCGCTCTAGTGTGACCGCACTCGGGAACTTTACGTTGTTTTTCGGGTCTTTGTCTCCCTCGGGGAATCTGGACCGCAGGTCGGCAGGTCCAGTCCCTGGCAAGGATCCCGCTCTGGGGGCCATGGAGTTCACCGCGTCGCCTAAGCCTCAGCTCTCCTCCCGGGCCAACGCCTTCTCTATCGCCGCGCTCATGTCGAGCGGCGGCTCCAAGGAGAAGGAGGTTGCGGAGAACACCATTAAACCTCTGGGTAAGTCGGACTGCTTGGTTGTTCGTGGGAGGCACTGGCGGGATCTGTGTGTGTGAGTGTACCCCTGTTTCTTAGCCATAGGAAGTTAGCAAGGATGGCGCTGTGTGTGGTGCCTTCCCCTAAGCAGGGCAGCGACAGGCCACACACTGGGGAGTAGGAGATTTTTCTCTTTTGGTAGGGGGGTTCTGGTGTTTCAGTCTGCTGTGTACTGTGGGTATCACATCTCGTTTTGGAGCTATGTTTGTTCAGAATCGTCCTACGAAGCTAGACATAACAATGTGCATGGATATAGATATGTCTGGTGACTCAGTTCAGTGATAAATAATAATAAATACCTTTTATAACTCAGTAAGATATAGGGCGTGTAACACCTGCTTGTGCATTTGAAATCAAGACGTTCTAAGAGACTTAATTAACAACAAGAACGAAAACAAACGTTTAAATTTTACTTTTCCCCTGAAGAGAGGCCGATCTTGAAAAACACTCAAGTGCTGTAGAATGAGCCAGTTTGTCCCTCACGAACTATTTGGTCACAGAATGTCCAGGCTTATCAGTAAGACATCATTTTATAAATGCTATCATTTTCAGTTGAGGTTGGCAAAAACATTTGCCAGTAACCATTTCCCAAATTACTCAACTTTTAGTTACACTGTTTATTTAACAACTTTTACCATTTATAAAAAAAGTGAAAGGAGAATTAGACATTATGTTCTCCTCCACACAAGTGAATTGGGTGGGAAAGAAACTGCCCAAGATAAGTGTGTTTTATTTATTTTTTAAATGAAGGAGAAAGAAATATCTTTTAGAAAGAAATGTTTTCCTCTTAGCCTCTTAGGCAACAGAGAAATAAGCATTGCTCTTCCCAGTTATTTGGTAAATGTAAACCTATGAAAAACAGCAAATTGTAAACAAAGTTTTGTGGGGGGGGTTTCTTTTTGAACCGTCCCCCACTTTTTTCCAACCTTCTTTTTATCCTTCACATTTTTCTGACCTTTTTTCTATCTTTCACAACAAATTAAATAACAGTTAAGAGGAAGAAGGTGATGACAAAGAAAATACAGGATCTGGGCAGAGAAAGAAAAGAGAACTAAAATCCCTATAGCAAATTGAAACCAAGGAAAAGGAAATAGGAGTAGCTACTGAAAACTTACTATCAACTGGTCTCTCCAAGCTTGCCAGCTTTCTAGTTCCGTTCACTGGTTCTTCCCAAGTACGGCATCTAAATCTCAGCCAGCTTTAAAAATGGAAATAATTAATCAAGTTAACTCCAATAGCTTAGAAGTAAATTAACTACCAATTTCAAAATTAACTTTAAGTGACTTCCCAATAGTATCCATTCGTTTTTAGGCAACTCTGAATTCTTTTTAAAGCCACTGTTTCAGTGTAGTATCTAGCAGGAAAAGACTACCTTAAGGTAAAATTCCTGACAGAAATACAAATTTGTTGTTATTATTAAGTTTCATCGAGTCCGTCTGACCATAGTGACCCTGTATAGGGTTTCCAGTACAAATAGCAGATAGAAAAATAGTCTAACTTCGCTGTCATTTTAGCATTGTTTTCTTCACTATAATTCTGAGAAAAGCCATTTTCTATTAAATTCGGAACCATAAAGCAGTTGCCAACTCACAGTATATCCTCCCCACCCCTTATCATAGTCTGCAAAATGAGAGTCTCAGCCCTGGGTTTTTGAGAGAGGTTCTAGAAGAACCTCCCTAGCACAGTTCAACAGAGCACAATTAATGACTGGCAGCCAGAGTCCAGCTAGAGAAATACCTAAAGTTTTAGAGAGAATGTAGTCATTTAAAATACTAGATGCTGTAGGGCGAGGGCTCACAGTGCCCTAAGAGTACTCATTTAAATATACAAATTCTTTTCTTAAAAGATTGCATCAGACCCTTAGAGCATTTCTGTATTGTTCTCTTCTTCCTCTGGTTCCCAACCTTCAGACCCTGGGATCAGTCCTGGCTTAGGAAGCTTGCTTTTTCAACAGCTGAAAATTAAGACTTTTCTCTTTAAGGCCAATTGATGATGTTGTGGTTGTCAAATGCCATTGAGTTGGTTCCGACTCAGCAGCTGGTAAGTTTGGACTTGTGGTCCTGCCGTGCCACAACTTGATAATTGCCCATAAAGATATCATGCAAATGTCAAAATATTTTTTTCTCAGAAAATAAGTTATTTTCATGGACTATTATCCTTTCTCTTTAAGAATCAAAAAACAAAACAGAACAAAAAACACCAAGAAAGAAAATTAATTAGGTCACTATGAGTTGGAACTGACTTGAGGCAATTAGCAACAGCACCAGTCTTAAGTAAGAACACTTAATGAGCTGCATTATCACTGTAAAAGACGAAAAGGTTAACATTCAACAAGCTTTCTGATTTCTTCATTTCTTGCTTGCCTGCCCCATGTCAAAAAGTATAGAAAGTAACAAAATACTTTGTATGATACATGCATATTGTATGTGTCTGTACACATCGTATATATATGTACACACATACATTCAGAACATTGAAGGCACTTAAAGTTGTTTGGAAATCAGCTTCTCGTTGCAGATTCAAGTAGTTTCTTTTCAAGGGATGCAAGATAATTGAGACAATTACAAAAGTTTCCCTGTAGTCCATCAAAGTGACTGATGTCATCCAAAGTCCTTATCAGCTGTGGAGAAGAATGTTTGGTTCATAGTCAGTGTTATTCTATCCTGTTGGCTAAGCAATCTTCCCATTTTATTAATATTCTGCTAGTCAGGCTAGGTTGGGGTTGTTTTCTTCACTTCCAGGATCCCCCCTTTTTTTAACCTCCCCCCAAAAATACACATATCACTCCTCAAGCAATTGTTCCACGCCTGTTCCAACACAACCCAGAGAACTTGTATGCTAGCATCTTTCAGGAGATCGCAGCATGGAAGGAATATTGTAACAATGATCTAACTCTCTCCTCCAGGTACCTAGGAAACTGAGGACCACATCCCCAGTTTCTTCTATTTCCCTGCCCCCTTTTGCATTCTATCTTCTGGAGAGGGGGCCTGAGGAGGGAAAGGAAAGTTCCTTGTAAAGTCAGAAAGGTGGTCCTCTCTTCACTCCCTTGCTCTCTATGGAGATGTCTTTCCTTCTAAGAAATTCTCCTAGGCAGAACTTCTTATAAGCCGGGAAGTCTAGAATTAAGCAGGGCTAACAAGGAATCCTTGTTATAACCTTCCCTAATCACCACATTTCCTTTTCTCCACCTTTGCATATTGATTCCTCACATGTTTCAGTATGGAAATTGCAGTTACAGTCTCCATAAAAATGGGTCATCTCTGCTCTCCTGGCGTTTCTGAGCTTAACTTTTCTAAACTCAAATCCAGGGATCTATTTCAGTTGTGCTGTTCTTTCTGAATATTTCCTAGGTTGATAGGGTCAGCTGACATTCTCCATTCTTTTTGTCACCAGAGCAATTTGTGGAGAAGTCATCCTGTGCCCAGCCCCTGGGTGAACTGACCAGCCTGGATGCCCACGGGGAGTTCAATAGCAGTGGCGGTGGCAGCGGCAGCAGCGGTGGCGGCGGCGGCAGCCCTTCCTCCTCCTCCTCTCTGTGCACTGAGCCACTGATTCCCACCACTCCCATCATGCCCAGTGAGGAAATGGCCAAAATTGCTTGCAGCCTGGAGACAAAGGAGCTATGGGACAAATTTCACGAGTTGGGCACGGAGATGATCATCACCAAGTCGGGCAGGTAGCTGAGTCTGGGCAGGTCTGGAGTGGAAAGACAGGGATGGAGCCCTGGGTGGTGTAGTGAGCCTCTAGGAACTGAGGAAATAAGACGAGTTCTGGAGCTAAAAGAGGAAGCATCACTCTAAGGATGGCATCTTCCCTCCTACTTGCCTTTGAAATGAGTATCATTTGCGTTCTCTGCACCAGGCCAGAAGAGCCTGACCCAGCTTTGAAGAGAAGGGCACTGGGATCCTGCTTACACCTTAGGAGGGCATGATCTTCTCTCCCCATTCCTCTGAAGTCTGAAGGGTTTGAAGGTGTGGGGTCAGGATCTGAAGGAAGGAGGAAACTAGCATAGGGAAGGCAACAGAAACTGGGCCAGGTACCCCAAGAGGATGCTGTTGTCTAGGTGCCATTGCGTCAGTTTTGACACGGCCTGATTCTGTGCAATCCTCACAATCATTGCTATGTTTGAGCCCATTGTTGCAGCTACTGTGTCACTGAGGGTCTTTTTCTTTTTCACTGACCCCTTACTCTACAAGCATGATGCCCTTCTCCAGGGACCAGTCCCTTCTGATGTTGTTGTTATGTGCCGTGGAGTCGGTTCCGACTCATAGCGACCCTGCATAGGGTTTCCGAGGCTGTAAATCTTTATGGGAGCAGAAAGCCTCATCTCTCTCCCGTGGAACAGCTGGTAGTTTCGAACTGCTGACTTTGTGGTTTGCAGCCCAATTCGTAACCACTATGCTACGAAAGCTCCTTAGTTAGCAGGTCCAAAGTACATGAGATAAAGTCTTACCATCTTCCCTTCTAAGACTTCTTTCTGATTGTACTTCTTCCAAGACAGATTTGTTCGTTCTCTGGCAGCTTATGGTATATTCAATATTCTTCGCCAAAGGTATCAATTAGTTGGTCTTCCTTACTTATTGTCCACTTCTTGCATACATATGAGGAAATTCAGAATACGAAGGTCAGGTGCACATTAGTTCTCAAAGTCAAAAAGCTTTGCTTTTCAACACTTTGATTTTTAAAAAAGGTCTTTTGCAGCAGGTTTGCCCCATGCAGTATGTCATTGGATTTCTTGACAGTTGCTTCCATGGTCATTGATTGTGGACCCAAGTTTAATGGCATCTTTGACAACGTCAATATTTTCTGTGTTTTTCATAGTGTTGTTTATTGGAAGGGTTGTGAGAGTCTTTTGTTTTCTTTATGTTGAGGTGTAAGCCATTTTGAAGACTTCATCCATCAGTTTTTCAAGTCCTCTTTGCTTTTATCAAGTCAAGTTGTGTCATCTGAATATTAAGGTTGTTATTGAGTCTTCCTCCAATCCAGATGCTATCTGTTTTCTTCTTCTTAGAGTCCAGCTTCTTACATACAGATTGAAAAAGTATGCTGAAATGACACAACTCTGAAGCACACCTTTGCTGATTTTAAACCACCCCCAGTACCCCCTTGTGGAGTCCTGGTGTAGTGCTGCAGGTTAATGCGCTGAACTGCAATGTCAGTTTGAACTGCAAGGTCTGCAGTTCAAGCTCATCAGCCACTCCTCAGAAACTGTATACAGGGTGTCCATGAGTCAGAACTGACTACATGGTATTTAGCAATAGTATTCCCATGTTCTGTTCAACAGACTATCTCTTAGTCTGTGTACCGGTTCCTCAGATGCACAATTAAATAAATGTTCTGTCTTATCCATTATTTATTATGATTGTTGTTGTTGTTGTTATGTGCCGTGGAGTCGGTCTCGACTCATAGCGACCCTGTACAGGGTTTCCGAGGCTGTAAATCTTTACAGGAGCAGAAATCTTTACATCTTTCTCCCACGGAACAGCTGGTAGCTTCGAACTGCAGACCTTACGGTTCGCAGTCCGATTTGTAACCACTATGCTACCAGAGCTCCTTTATGATACACAGACTGTAATGCCTTTGCAGCATCAATAAAACACTTAAACATCTTTCTGGTATCCTCTGCTTTAAGCCAAGTTCCATGTGATATCAGCATTGATACCCCTCCTTCCTTGTTCTCGTTTGAATTTCTGGCAGTTCCCTGTCAATATATTGCTGCAACTCTTTCTGAATTTTCTTCCTTGAAATTGTAGTTGCATGTGATATAAGGGAGTGTCATTTCTCATTTATTTGCCTTAATTTGCAGAAACAGCCAGCTTCTATAAAATAGTAAAGTAAAACCCTGGACAGAAGAAAGAAATTTGAAAGGACAAGACTCCCTATGGGAAAGAACTGTCTTGCTAGATTCCAGGGTGAGCTGCAGGGGCAGACAGGAAATTTCTGGGGTGGAGTGACTTCCCCACAGCCTGGACAAGGCTCAGAAAGTCAGTGGCCCCAAAACTCGGGACCCAGAGGAATACCCTAAGGGTCTTCCAAAACCCAACTGGATGCTGGTGAGTTGCAGACTCCAACAATACAGACCCCAGGGCCTTGGGAGTCTAATGTGGTTGCTAATGAAAATACATAAGCGTTTTTCCCCAAGCACAGACCTTCAGATGTTTGCAAAAACTTTTCACTAAGCAAAGAAGACTAGCACTTAAAGGGTTCTAGGCTTTGGAGAAGGTTGGATCTTTGTATTCACATCTTGTGGCTTTACTGGAACAAAGGGGGCTGGAGGACTGAATGGAAGAGGACTGGGACCCTTTTCTTCCCTCGTTAATTCTGCTCTTTAGCCAGTGTGAGCTAGGGCTGATTCTTTCTGTCTCCCTCTGTTAGGAGGATGTTTCCAACCATCCGGGTGTCATTTTCCGGAGTGGATCCTGAAGCCAAGTACATAGTCCTGATGGACATTGTACCCGTGGACAATAAGAGGTACCGCTATGCCTACCACCGGTCCTCCTGGCTGGTGGCTGGCAAGGCCGACCCTCCGCTGCCAGCCAGGTTTGTGTCTTTGGATTTTTTTCCCCAGTGAAATGTTAAGCCTGTTGGTAGGCTGTCTCTGTGCTGAGTTTTAAGGAGGTCTGTTTTTAAACAGCAAACTCTGGTAAGAGTTTTCCAAATGTGAGTGCCCCAAGATGGACTCTTTAAAATATGGTCTTCTCAGAATAAGGCAGCTTATTCAATGACAAAATGCTGCCTTTATTTTAATCTTTTGTCATAAGTTACCTTAAAAATTTTCCTTACATTTTAATAGAACTATCCACTAACCATCAGGATCTGCCTCATGTGGCTACCATAATTTTCAGTTGGTAGCTTACAATAACTAATAGGGTGCTTCCCCTCAATCCCACTTAGAAGGGTGCATTATTGGAAAGTGATTGCTTATACTAAATATTTGCTAACAGTATGGGCTATAGCCACACATAATAAACATCATTTTTGGTAAAATTTGGTTGTTTTTTATTTTGACTAGTGAAGAGTTTATATATTTTAAGTAAGAAAAAAAGACTCTTTTCCTCCATAAATAAGTTTAATGGGTGAATGTAATTCAACATCAGGCTAATATTCTTTTATGTAAAATATTACTCATTTAACATAGTAGGCATCATATGTGTTTGTTTTTGTCATAATCATCCCATCATATTTTGAAAGGAGTACCCTTTTAAAAACACACACACATACATACATACATTCCTCTCTAAATCTGCATTGGTGGGGGAGGGATGTATTGGTCTATCTGAAGGCGTACGGTTGGAGATTACAGGAATCTATCTAATTTCACACTTTAATACAAAACAAAGAATATTAGCTGGCTTTTCACTAGGGATTCTAAGATAAAGTTTCACAGCTTTTAAGTTGTTTTATGACTATCTGATTTTTGTAATAGATTGAAACTTTATACCAGAGCTGAGAATTTACTGAAATGTGCAGATTTTAGAAACTTTGAGTTTATGCTTGTTGTTGTTGTTGTTGTTGTTTTAAATGTTTCACCTGCAATCTTTTTCAAGGCCCAGAATCAACAAAGACAATTATATAAAAATTTCAAGTGGAATATTTAGTTCAGTTAGCACTTGATCATATTGCTGAGCTTAAATAATAAGTTGAATTCACTAGAGAAGAAAATAAAAGCAGTCTCTCAGCATTTTCCCTTTACACCAGAGACTAGCAAGGACATCTTTCTGAACTTTTTAATCATTATATTAAACAACAGTCAGGACTAAGAAAATTTTAAGAAATTGCTTTTAAAAAATACTGAACAAGGTTCACCAGTTCACAATAGACATTAAATTGAACAGAATTGGTGTTCTAATTCTTAATTGTACTTAACTGGAGTCCTTGTGCAGTGGTGCTGTGGGATAAAGCACTGGACCACAAGGTAGAGTTGAATCACAAGTTTGGTGGTTCAAATTCACCAGCCTCTCCTTGGAAGTGCTATACTTGGCCCCTATGAACAGACTCCAATGACACTTGACACGGTAATAACTTAACTATGAAAGAATTGATTTTTTCATTATTCTTATTTCATTGACTGATATTTACAACATTGTTTTAAAACAGAGAAAGAGAATTTGAGCTGATTCCTAACTAACCCTTATTACAAGCAAGTCACCCTCCCCTTTCTTTTCTTTACCAAGTCTTCCCTCTAAGAAGTTAATCACTCTTACTTAGCATACATTTTCTTCCTATCTGAAAGGATGGGGGAACTGGTGCTGGCCAGCAGGACTTTGGAATATGACATGCATTGTTTATGTTACTAATCTGTTCTGGTTGGAGAAATAGACTAATACGCTATCTTAGCTGAAGTATGTTTAAGCTATTGCTGGAATTTTAAGTCCTGGGACTTGGGAGAGGAGGGGCTCCCCATATGCTTTCTCACTTATCCTAGGTCAACTTATTTATATTGATATTAGATAAAAATGCTTAGTTCATTGTAGGATAGAAATAGTCTAGATATAAGTTAAGCAACTGCTTTTTTTGTGGTTGTTATCATTAATGAAACAGTTTGCTATATTTTCTATGTATAGGGAAGGATAAGGAATTTGAAAGGGGATCATTTTTTGTTTTGATGGTAGAAATTCCTTGGAGTTCTTGTACTTAGAAGTATTTTTATTTCATATTAAACTTCATCAGTCAGCTGGTGCCGATGAAGAGAAATAATGCTTGACAATATCTTTGGATTATGAAAATGGGCAAGATATGTTTGATCTGGACTCATGTTTCATGGACTAATGTTTCATATGAGATATTTTCTTTTAAGTAATTAATCTTTCTACTAGTGTAACTACATATGGTTAATATAATACTTGTTGTTGTTGTTAAGTGCCATCGAGTCAATCCGATCTATAGAGATGCTGTATAAGGTTTCCAAGGAACAGCTGGTGAGCTTGAACCATCGACCTTGCAGTTCAAACCGACTTTGCAGTCCAGCACATTAACCCACACCACCACACCAGGACTTCAATATAATATTTTTAAAGGAAATATTTTATCAGTTTCTAAGACTTGAAATATTTTTAAACCTTTTGAGGTAGTTGGAATGTGCTGCTGGTCAACAAAACAACTAAATCTATAAAGTTGTAATCTTGGAGGGATGATACCTGCAAAGCTATTAGGGTTTTGTTATCAAAGAATACTTTTTGTTTGAGTCATTCATGATCCTCCTAAAACAATCAGACCTACAAACCTTTTAAAGTTCTAAGGGTCTGTTAAGAATTTTTAGTGTGGTCAGCCTTATTTGCGTTTTGCTTCTGGTGGGCTTTGTGAATTTCAGCATGTATGTCCAACTCTTGTGTAATCTCTGTGTGAACACTTAATGAGATGATGATGAAAATAGATGTGCTTAAGGTACCAGGGCTTTCTGCTCCCGTAAAGATTCACAACCTTGGAAACCCTGTACAAGTCGCTCTGAGTCAGAACCGACACCATGGCACACCACCACCAACACCACCACCACCACCAACGTACACAGCGGAGCAACAAGCTCTGAACTCTGATCTGTAGACTATAAAAAGTTCCTAGGTCAAGATATTAAAATTACTCTGGTATTTATAAAGAACACAAACTTTCCACAGTCACCTTTGTGTTTTTTGATTATCTAATAAAATTGTGTTCTCTTTTAAATTCTTTTTGTCTATGTTGCTTGTTAGCAGTGCAAATTAGTCTATAACTAATGACCTTTTGTATTTGACTAAAATGTGCAATTGCTGACAAAATGACAGACAAAACCAAATCCACTGCCACCAAGTCAGTTCTGACTCACATCAACCCTATGTAGGGTTTCTGAGACTGTAAGTCTTTTACAGGAATACACAGCCTCATCTTGCTCCCACAGAGCAGCTGGTAGATTTGAACTACCAACTTTGCACTTAGCAGTCCAAAGCGGATCCCACAGAGTCACCATAGCTCCTTAGTAGCAGTCAGCTACTAGAGACATGGGGGGAAATTTTTTTTTTAATGAAAAATGACTTGCTTATCAGATAATAGAAAATTGATATTTTAATCATTTATTTGTTTATAGATCATTGGTCCACAAAGAAACTCCTTGAAATGCTTTAGAGTTGTTTTAGCTTTGCTGTATTAGTAAATTTGAAATATGTATGGCAAATAAAATTGACCACTTATATGAGGTTTATGTGTCCCTCTAGAACCAGAACATTTTATATTTACAAAGAACAGATATTTTACAAATGTCTCAATAAAATTCTCTAACGATTTCCTTAGGCTGTATGTGCACCCAGATTCTCCTTTTACGGGGGAGCAGCTACTTAAGCAGATGGTGTCTTTTGAAAAAGTAAAACTCACCAACAATGAATTGGACCAACATGGCCATGTAAGTATCATATCCTGGACTATGCAAGTTCCCATTGGGTAGTGGACAGGGTCCCCCATGGTTTCTTTCCTCCTTCCCCTCTCCATCTCTGTCTCTTTGTCATTCTGTGAGAATGTTCATGAGTTTCTTAGGGGCATCTTGAGTGTTGTCAGGATTTGCAGGGAGGCTTTGTACTGTTCCTCTGAAAAAATGTCCTGAACCTTCACTACCATGGATTTCCTCAGACTTCTGAACGACTTTACCATCTACACCAATTAAAAGAGAGTTTGCGTTTTGGAGATTACTACAGCCTGCTCTTGGGTAAAACATTTAATCACTGTCAGCAGTGTATCAAATAACACATGGGCTAAGACCTCCTATGAGGCTTTCCCACTGTGTCTTCTATAGAATACAGTCATGTGAAACGCAGTTGGTTGAAAGAAACTTATGTCCAAAAAAATTGGGAAAGTTCATTATGCACATATAGTCCCTTTGCGGAAATACTCATGAATTTAAAACATTAGGAAGTCCTATAATTCAAAACAAGACAAAACAATTTGATTTTGTGTCAATAAAGAGTTCATCAAGGTTTGGAAAACAGAAATTAGAAGCATGAACTTTTGCTAACAGTTATTGGAATCCAAAGCCAATGACACAGGATCTTGCACATTTGATAAGATTCTTAATTAAAGTATTGTGTGTGATGTTATCACATGGAAATTTGCATCAAACTTGTTTTAGATCTAGCTTCTAGACAAATTTTCTTATTTCTTATTTTTTTATAATCTCTATAACATAAAATGTTCCATCTTAGCCCTTTCAAGTGTACAATTCATTGACAGTAGTTTTGTTCACAATGTTGTACAATTATTCCCACTGTTTCTATGCAAAATGTTTTCATTGTGCATGCTTCTTGGTTTTTTGTTTTTTAAGTTTTTATTGTGAATTGAGTGAAAGTTTACATGGGAGAACATTGGTTTTACTCTCATTGTTTCATTGCAATGATTACAATCTCCTCTGTGCATCATCATTCAACAGTGTTTGCTTCCATTCCCTCTGGGTTTTTGTTTTGTTTTGTTTTGTTTTGTTTTGTTTTGTTTGGAGGGATGTACACAAAACCACTCAGGAATATACAAGAATTTAAACAACTAAAGGGCACATTCTGCAAGCCTGCTTCCTGGCCGCCAGCACTTAGTCCCTCTCTTTTCATGAGTGAAGAGTCCTCAGCTGCTCCCTCTCTCTATGTCCTCATCTCTGGTGTCGTTACTTCTCTGGATAGGGTCCCACAACTGCTTGTGCTCTTCTCCCTTGGTGGTCCTAGTGTCCTCTGTTTCTGAACTGTAAGATTAACTACTCCCCCATTTTAGTTACAAAAACTTCTACCTTTACAGTTGTAACAGTCGCAATTAGTTATGATAACGATTACTCACTATTGAATCATAAGAATCTTATCCCCATCTTTTTTCACCAGACCCGTCCAGACAGCATGCTTCTTTTTTTGATGAGGGGAATACTGTTTCTTTTTTTGCCTCCACTAGTGGTTATGAATCGGGCTGCGAACCGCAAGGTCAGCAGTTCGAAACTACCAGCTGTTCCACGGGAGAAAGATGAGGCTTTCTGCTCCCGTAAAGATTTACACCCTCGGAAACCCTGTACAGGGTCGCTATGGGTCGGAACCAACTCCATGGCACACAACAACGACAACAACCAGAATTGCCAGAAAGTGCATGGCTATTTTCTAGTTGCTTCTCTTGGCTTAGATATTCTGATATAATTCTCCTCTCTCGCACTCCTTGTATTCTGACGCTTGTCACTTAATGTTTTCATTTTTATTGGATCTATGCAACTTAGAGGAGTCCTGGTGTGACGCTGTGGGTAAATGCGCCAGACTGCAAAGCTGTTTGAACTGTAACGTTGGCAGTTCAAGCATACCAGTCACTTCTCGGAAACCCTATACAAGGTCACTATGAGTTGGAACTGACTCGATGGCACTTAACAACAACAACAACATGCAACTTAGAAAAAGTGTCTCAAAACCATTCTCAAGAAAGATGGTAATAAGTAGGTAATACATCTGAGAGTTCTAGATATGATTTCAAATGGTTGAATAATTGAAGCTGGAACCAAATAAATCACGTCAGGCCTGACCACCATCCATTCTCACAGGGGACCTTGTTTATCAGGGTAGTCACGTTACTCACAACTCTTCTGGTAGAACTTTTGTGGTTTTAGAAGTAAGTTAGTAGGTATCTGCTATTTTATGTATTGGAAAAGACAATCATTCTCTCGAGGATTTTGGCATGATTTTTATTTATTTCAAAAGGTATTTCCATTGACAGATTTTTTTTTTCAGGTTAAAATTTATGAAGTATCAGAGTGGTGTTTTAGGCCAGTGATTATTCTTAATGTTTTTCATATTAAAATTTCTTGAATTCTAGTGAATTTTTTGAAGGAAGAAAAGGAATTCTTGTATAATTCTAGCATCATCTATTTGTGAAAAATTTAAAGGAATCAGTAGGGTCATTCTAGAAAGATTTGAGTTTATTTTGAACTCACCTATCCAGAATTGAAATGTTTTTCTTTTAGAATCAGTTTCAGGGGTGGGAATAGTACTCAATTGGATTTCAGGAGCATGGGTACAGTCTGATGGTGCCAAGACTAGATTTTAGCAAATTGTTTAGTCTTTGTTTCCTGTCTGTTTTTTGCTGAAAACTTTTATGATTGAATATATTCCTTTGTCACCAGAATTAGTGTGTTTGGAAAAGTACCTGGAAAGAGTTTTAAATTCTCTGCTTTTTTGTCTGTTTATTTTAATCAGTCCTGGAGCAGTACATTGTAAAGATGCAGTTTTAGTTTTGTAGCAGGCACGTTTCTTATTTCAGAAATGAATTTCTTAAATGAAGCAGAACCCACATTTCTTTGTTCCTTCGCCCTGTGAGGACTCGAGCAGAGTCAGGAGACTAGATAACATCTGAGACTGAGTCTCCCTGTAGCTCTGCCAATGACCATTTTCTAAGGAAATTTATCTTGAGGGTTGTTGAAGGGATAGGGTTTATTTAAAGTCTCACTCCCTATTTTGGTGTGTGTGTGTGTGAAAAAGAGAGATTTGAAAAGTCTTATCTTCTCAGTAAACTATATAAAAAGTATTGAAGTTTTTTTCTTAAATCAATCTTAAGAGGTAAATGTTTGCTTTTGTCACTTCAAGTTTATAACTGAGTGTACATTTCTTATGCTCCTTGGAATAATAACATTATCAAATTATCTTTTAAAGTTTATTGCAATCACTTGAAGTGCTCATCTTCATTATTTCAGGCATTCCTGTGTTAGAGTTCACTAAAAGGTAGCTTCTGTAAAATGCAATTCCAGTGAATGCCCTGGAACCTTAAATTGGCTTCTATCTTAGTGCAGAGAGACACTAATAATATTTCAGTTACTCCACAGTGACCAGTCTTAACTCAATAGGCAGAAACACAAAACCCACACAACCAACGTGTGGTGAGAAAGCAAAGGAGAGAACAGTTACTTTCTTAGAGGCAACAGCAAACATTCAATAGAATCATTCCTGCCACAGGTGTTTATTAAACATGCCTCCCTATGGAAACACTCTCTGCTAGGTTCTTTGAGTGAACACCATAAAATGTGAACCTCATTATTCTAGAAAAGATGTATGTAGCTGTCTGGGTGGCAGAATGAAAATGTGGAAAGGCCTTTACTTGAAAATGAATTTTGATGCTTGGATTTCATAATGGCAAATAATCGTATTTCCTTTCAATGATATATGAAAAATACTACTCTCAAGTTGCCTTGTTGTGGTGCTGTAGGATAAGCACTCAACTGCCAGATCAGTTTGAACCACAAGGTCAGCAGGTTCAAACTCAACCAGCCACTCCTCGGAAGCCCTATATGGGGTCGCTATGAGTCAGAACCAACTCAACAGCACTTAACAACAACAACAAAAGCATCTGCCTTGTTAAGCAGGATATGTTTATTTTTGATTTCTAAATACTTAAAAAGTTTTATTAGCAACAGAATTGAAGATGACCATGACTGTTAATCAGGTTGAGCTTTATAACTAGAGTTACGAATGAATGGCCACTAATGAATCAGTCATAAATAATGATCATCATCATTTTAACAATGAAGTTCACATTTTCTGAGTGTTTATTATTTGCTGGAGTCCCTGAGTAATGCAAATGTTAAATTGCTAACCAAAAGGTTGGCAGTTCAAACCCACCCAGAGGGGCTTTGGAAGAAAGTCCTGACAATCTGTTTCCAAAAGGTCACATCCACTGAACATCCTGTGAAGCCAGTTCTGCTCTGTGGCACCTGGGTCACTATTAATCACAAACACCTTGGCCGCGATTGTTTCTTGGCTTGTTTGGGTTTTAACTGTTGCTATCTGGTGTGGGGCTGTGGGCTAATGCATCAGACTTCAAAGTCACTTTGAAATGCAAGGTTGGTGGTTCAAGGTCACCAGCTGCTCCTTGGAAACCCTATACAGGGTTGCTATGGGTCGGAATCGACTCGATGGCACTTAACAACAACAACAATGTGCTTAACAAATGTTACAGCCCTGCCAGGGCAAATAACCATTCTAAGTGAGGTTATTCTTTATCCCCCATAAGCAAAAACCTGCCTCCTAGAATATGTAACTCAAGTTAGAAAATTTAGATATTCATCTTTTGGTCTAACTAACTAAACAATTTTTTTTTTTTTTAATTTTTCAAAGAGTTGATTAAACAAATATTTTAAACATATCCTCTGGAGGAGATTATTTTTTCCCTTCCACCATGTTGAAAATGATGGTTGAACCAAGCTGTATTATTTGTAGTTGTTTTGATAAATTGCATCTCATATCCATGACTCTATAGTATCTTGTGAAAATAACCAGCTGTAGGAAGAGAAAAAGTAGATTGTCATCTTATAATTGAATTTGAAATTAGATTTGTGGTTCTTTCTTAGTCTCATTTTTGGCTTGTTTAGTAGTGACATGTAAGCGTTTCAAATCCACTACTTCCCATTTTTTGTTGTAGATCATTCTGAACTCTATGCATAAGTACCAGCCTCGGGTACATATCATTAAGAAGAAAGACCACACTGCTTCTTTGCTCAATCTGAAGTCTGAAGAATTTAGAACATTCATCTTTCCAGAGACAGTTTTCACAGCAGTCACTGCCTACCAGAATCAACTGGTGAGTATACAATAAAAATATAGGAGGTCCTTACACTTCCTTGAAGAGAAGGGATAACCCAATACTCAAAATGGAAGTTGGGAGAGAGCTATTCAGTAGCAGCTCTAGGACTTCTAAGAGTGTGTGGAGTGAACATAGCTCAAGATGGAAGGCTCTACGTTTTTGGGCAAAGCAGGCAGCTGTACTTGTAGTTTAGTTTAATCTGTATTAGATTTCCATAGAATCTTTACATGCCTAACTGGATAGTTCATTGTGCACTCCTTCACATCACCCCACCCTGACCCAGTCTGCCTTCTTCAATCTCAATTTCTTTTCCTTCTCCTGGTAGAGCCTTGTAACATACACAACTATATACTCTTAGCTTTGCAGTTTCATGAAATTTAGAAAATCAGTTTTCCTGCTAAATTAAATGCACATATATTCTTGTCAACTACCCAGACTTTATGTAACTCATACATCCGTAATGATGGGTGACATAATTCTAGTAAAATAATTGTAAACACCCCTAAGGGTAATAAACCGCTGTACTTTTAATTAACACCAAGGTCTCAAATTTATAATAGTGAGTTACTTTTTTCCCTATATATGTATATCATCATTTAAAATGTATGCATTTCTTCATCCACAAAATTAAGTCCAACTCACTCAAAGATCTAAAAGTGCCAAGTGCTGCTAGAGACTTACCCATACATTTTCTTTTGATCAACAAACCTGTTGAACCACTGGAGGGCGTATAGAAATAAACAAGATACGTTGAGTTATTGAAACCAACAATGCCATTTAATTTATTTGAAGAAACATGGAATGTGAATATCATGGACTCAGAAAAGATTCCTAAAACATTCATTTTATACTAATCAGATTTATACCTTTTATGCTGTAAATATCAGACAAGGATTCAAGAAACCCTGTTGATATTTGGGGATGAAATGTAATCTTGTCATGTGAAAACTTCATTGTTTTTATCAGAATTCTTTGTAGCTCTGGTGTTACCAAGAATGGTTAAATTGGTTTTTGTTTTTTTTGTGTGTGAAAATTACATAGAGCAAAATTAGAGGATGCTTCTAAGTACAATCCCCTAGATTCAATCAATAGGTGATAGAGCAATCTTGACTAAATGTTGACAGGGCCTCTCAGGTTATGGTACACTAGAATAGGAGGTTGACTTGTGCATCCTAAGAGTGGTTAATGTGTGGATACTCATGTGTGCAATGCAGCGTTTGAAGTGCATTGCCTTATTTAACGTATAATGATATTATGATTATATAGATTTTATAGTGGGAAAAATTGAGGCGGACAGTTACATAACTTATCTATGATGGCCTGGCTGCTTCCATCATAGATATGAACCTAAGCAGTTAGAGTTAAGAGTCTGTGTTATTGACCACTGAACTACAATTATGGCTGCCTGCTGTGCCCAAGAAAGTAGAGCATTACATCCTCTCAGCTTTTGACTCTGCTGTCCTCTGCAACATTCTTCACAGAGGAGTTCAACTCTTTATACTCATTTACTATTCAGGAACTGCTGCTGCTTACCTTCTGTGTTCACACTACACAACAGTGAGCATAACAGAATAGTAATCATTCTAAGCTAGATGCCAGGTTTGCAGTTCATATTCAGGAGTCGCTCCTTGGAAACCCTATGTTGTTGTTGTTAAGTGCCGTTGAGCAGCTCAGTATAGGGTTTCCAAGAAGAGGCTGGTGAGTTTGAACCGTGGACCTTGTGGTTCAAAACAACCTTGCTTTATCCCACAGCACCACATCTAGACTCCTGGAAACCCTATACAGGGTCCCTATGAGATGGACTCCTGGTGTGACACTATAGGATCAGCACTGGCTACTAGGTCAGCAGTTCAAACCCATCAGCTAGCTGCTCCTTAGAAACCCTATACAAGGTTGCTATGAGTTAGAATCGACTCAGTAGCAGCAAGAAAGGGATAATGTCACCTAATAAATTTCCAGGATGGATCAACAACGTCTTGTAAATATTTTTTCCTCTTCTGAGCTAGAATCCAATTAAACTTCATAGTTTGGATTTACTGCTTTTAAGTTTTAAAAATTCTTTGGTGTTTTTCTCAGTATCTTGGGTAATTCTGACACTTATCATCTGAAGGAGACCCAAAGAACCTTCATCTCTAGATGAAGAGTTTCCGAGTGGTTCAGTCACACACCTGTTTTTGTAGCTGGTAACAGAACCATCATTAAGTTGGATCTTCTGGTTCATACTTTCTCCTTTTTAGTGGCATCACCATAGATAGAAAGGCCAAAAAAAAAAAAAAAAAAAATGCCACTGACAATTTTAAGAGGTTTGAAACAGATTTGAAAATGTTACTAAATTGGAATAGACAGTTGTTGTTGGGCCATTGAATCAGTTCAACTCATATCAACCCTGTGTACTGCCTGGTCCTGCCTCACCCTCACCATTGTCATGTTTGAGCCCATTGTTGCTGCCACTGTGACAATCCATCTCATTGGAGTCTTCCTCTTTTTCATGGATCCTCCACTGTATCATCAAGCATGATGTCCTTCTCCAAGGACTGGTCCCTCCAGAAAATATGCCGAAAGTATAAGAGACAAAGTCTCACCATCCTTGATTCTAGAGTGTTCTGGCTGTACTTTGTCCAAGATAGATTTTCTTATACTATGGACGGTCCATGATTCTTTCAATATTCTTCACAGGTACCGTAATTCAAATGCATAGATTCTTCTATGGTCTTCCTTATTCGTTCTTCAACTTTCACATGTATATGAAGCAGTTGAAAACACCAGTGACTTGAGTCAGGAGAACCTTAATCCTCAAACTGATAGCTTTGCTCTTCTTGAACACTTTATAGAAGATTTTTACAGTACATTTGCCTAATTCAATACGTTGTTTGATTTCTTGACTGTTACTTCCATAAATATTGATTGTGGATCCAAGCAAAATTAAATCTTTGACAACTTCAGTCTTTTCTCTGTTTATTATAATGCCATTTATTGATCCAGTTGTGAGGATTTTTGTTTTGGTTTTACATTGGAGTGCAATCCATACTGAATTTTGTAGACTTTGATTTTTATTAGTAAGTCTGTCGAGTCCTCTTCCTTTCCAGCAAGCAAGGTTGTGCCATCTGTATATTGCAGGCTGAATCTTCCTCCGATCCAGATGCCATAGGTTTTTGTTTTTTTTCCCCATATTATCCAGTTTCTTGGATTATTTGATCATCATACAGATTGAATAAGTATGGTGAAATGATACAACCCTGGTGCACACCTTCCTAGTTTTAAACCACTCAGTATCCCTTTGTTCTGTTTGAATGACTGTCTCTTGGTCTATATACAGGTTCCTCATAAACACAATTAAGTGTTCTGGAATACCCATTCTTTTCAATATTTTCCATAATTTGTTAAGATATTAATAAGCAGACATTCTAATATAAATTGCTTCTCTTAAAAATGTTTATCTCTGATTGAGAATGTAAATGGGCTCAGAATCCATCCACCAGTGCCTAACTACCTTTTGCTGCATCATTAAGTATAAAGACTAATATGGTTAATATGCCATTTTATTGCTTAATTACCCATAATGGGAGTGACTAAATTCAAAATTACTTAACTGCTTCAATAGATTCTTCTGTGTCTGAGTTTATTTCTATATGTTGTTGTTTCTGTGTGCTGTTGAGTCAGTTTCAACTCATAACCCTGTATAGAGTTTCCAAGAAGCAACTGGTGAGTTTGAACCACCAACCTTGTGGTTAGCAGTCCAGTACTTATCCATCAGCACCACACTAAGACTTCTTATTTCTAAATACACACTTTTAAAACTATCTCAGTATCCCCTCCACATTCAGTTAATAACCAAATATTTGATTTGATATTCCAATAGATCAATTTTGCAAATACTTTATAAACCTTACAAGAGCAATCAAAATTGATATAGCAGATTTTCAGTAAGCACATAAAGAATAAGTCAGTTTAGGAGTTAGGATTTTATTATTTTTATACCCTTTATGAGAGTCCTGGTATGGTGCTCTAGGATAAGCACTGAACTGCTAACCACAAGATCAGTGGTTCAAACCCACCAACTGTTCTTTGGAAACCCTATACAGGGTTACTATGAGTCAGAACTGACTTGAAGGCACTTAACAGCAACAATAATACCTTTTATTACTGAGCCCCCTGGCGTGACACTAGAATAAATGCTGGACTTGTAACCACAATGTCGGCAGTTCAAACCCACCAGTCGCTCTTAAAAACCCCATACAAGGTTGCTAAGTGCCAGAACCAACTCGAGGGCACACAACATACCCTTAATAAGGAGCCCTGGTGGCAGAGTGTGTAAGGACTCAACTGCTATTAGTTCAAACCAATAAGCCACTTTGTGAGAGAAAGATGTGGCAATCTGCTTCCATAAAGTTTTACAGCCTTGGAAACTCTGGAGCAGTTCCGTTCTGTCCTGAGTTGAAATTCACTAGAGGGTAGTTGGATACTTTTGATGAGTCAGAATCAAACTGGGCAGTAACAGGTGTTTTAAATTTTGTTTTGCTAACTTTTCTTTTTCCTAAAGAGCGCTTTTGGCTGCTAACTAATTTGAACCCATCAGCTGCTCTCTAGGAGGAAGAGCTGGTCATTTCCTCCTGTAAGGAAGAAAGCCTATGAGATTATAGCCTTGGAAAGTCTATCATACATAGTTGCTATGAGTTGAAATTGAGTCGAGAGTGTACAACAATAACTTAAATATTTCTAAAGCTATCCCCTGCTCCTTGTAGAGTGTAGCTATGACCCTGCAGGATAAACCCATCAGGCTCTCCTTGGAAACCCTATACAGGCTTGCAAAGAGTCAGGACCAACTCCACAGCACTTAAGGACAAACAACTCTTTCTAGAGCTCCCTACATCTACACCTTATTCATCACTACACTGTGTTTGTACACTGTTATTTTTATATCTAGCATAAAACAAATATATAATAAATAAGCAAAGTAAATATGCAGTAAATATAAGCATTTGAATTTTCTTCATGCC